GATCAGGTAATGCATTTATTCATGTAGTTTTCAAAATTGCAGTTTCTACATAAAAGGGGAGACGTAATGTATTGATGATAAATCCGATCCGCTCTCTAGATCCTAGATTTAGCCTTTCCTACAATGGAATGCATAGTATGTATTTTGTATCTTATCTTTTTGAACAGGGGTAATATTAAAAGCTTGAAAGGATGCTTGCACGTCTGCGTTGTTTAAAAAATGTCCAATGTGAGTTGTTTTCTTTCTTTCTTTCTGAGATATACACAGTGTCTAAAAGGTAAAGGTTAATTCGGTTAAGTGTGGCAACTTATATATTATTACATTTATTATGTAATTACATTTTAGTATTGTGCAATAACTGACACCAGTCAGTGATAAACATAAGAGTCGAGTTCCATAATAAATGTAAAGGTGACAAAAATGTATAGTTAGTTTCTCATTTCTATTGTGAACTTAAGTAGGACAATTTGTATAGTCACGTGAGCAGTTTCGTGATAGCGTGATATCTCACGTTGTCCTTGAATCTAGAGTATGCCGGGACAAAGTTTACACCACCTCTATTGTAGTTCCCTCGGTATGTTTTGCATGATAAAATCGGCCGAGAACAAGGAATTCGGAATAAATATTGTTTTATACATAAGAAAACCAGTTTTATCTGAAATAAAGAAATGAAATCTTTTTTTGCTTTGCGTGATGCGTTTTCAACACCTGTTAAACCACTAAAACACAAGCCTTTTTCGAATTGTTCAATTTCAAACAGATGTCGACAAATCTTAATTCAAAGTGAGTTAAACATATTCATATTTGACTTGTCTATTTAAATAAGTCTCATGTGATATGCAGTTGTTCACATATAATTAATCAGTTTTCTTTCAGCAATGCAAAAACAACACTTATTGCTTAAGATTTAATACAACATCTCAAGTTTTTTAACGTGACGATAATGCCTTTTAGACAAGTTTTTAAACTGTTGTCGGGTTTACATTTTGCGAGACAGAGTGGTTTGTACATATCATTACCGTTGACCTGGAGAGCAGAATTAACTGGAACAGATAAAAAATTGTAAAATCGTATGGTATGACATCATCTCGGGTATGTTTTCATCGTGACTTATCCTGCTTTCTTGCATAAATACGGCCAGGAGTACACATGTCAACCGTCATTGACTCGTATGAGCTGATAAAAGTATTAGAGGTCAAGTAAGGTAGCTGATACAACAACGGTCAACTGCCGTGTGTCCTCTGCGGAGGGTCATTTTCACACTGCTATGGAGAGGATAAATACATGAAATTCTTATTCCTGGACATTTTCATTATAATGTAAGTAATACTTACTCGATTATTGATTATGATGACTAGGTAAATTTTACAGTATCCTCAAATACCAATGATGCAACTCTTTAAATCTATGTTTTCCGAAGAAGTGTTTGTATTTTAGTCTGAACAGCTGTTGTTCAATGTTCGATTTTTTTTTATATTATCATTGATATTTCACAAGCATGGGTGAGTAAGGTGTGTTGAGTGATCAGTGGAAACACTTGGAATTCATAGGCCTTGTTATCATACACTTGTATTTTATTATAACAGTTCGAAATATATTACTAAGCTTATCTATAATTTGCGTACCCATTATGATCTTATATTTGTATTAGCAACGGTTATAACGGTTCACTGACAGCTGGTTTCTTCACGTGGTTTAGTTAATTAAACAAGTAAACATATGAAGTAAGTTCATCTATTTAAAGTATAGCCCTGTCACTAGTACTGATATCATATCAGCATTGACATTTTTTGTACCAGTTTTATCATGAACACAGTCATTATACACATTAGATATCGTATCAAATTGTATGTATAAACATCATTTCGTCCTTCGTAATTTTATTTGTTAACCTCACAACAACTGTTGGTCCTGTTTAGATAAACACTGGCTATACGATAGTGATATCTACAACATGTAATCAGTTTCTGAAATCATTGTTTATTTGTCTACGAACGTCGAAATGTATCACAGATAAAAACATTTCATTTCCAATGTTTCCATTCTTAAATGTGTTGACAGGCAACAAAGATTCATAAAGTAATGGAATGCATTTTTAAGATGTTAAGTTCTCTTGTATTGTGATTAAGATTTGAAGATAATTGAACAGTAATCACACATGTAGTTTATAACTATCATATTAAATACAATATAAACGAATGTAGCTTCTTAATAAGACTATGTTATATCTGTTCTATTATGTTTTTTTCATTACTGTATTCTGGGATATTTTCTTATACACGAATCGGCCTCGTGTTAATTTCGACCTTGGAGAGTTGTGAAAACAGAATACATGAAGATTAATAAATGTTTGACTCTCCCTTCCCATTCCAGCTACAGATAAACCTCACCCTGTTCATAGTTCGAAATTGCTAAAAAATTTATATGATTGTTCAAATAGCGATGATCGTTGATGCACTATATATGAATCATCATGGAGTTAATTTGCAAAAGCACTACACGTATTATATGTTGATTGCGCTAAGTTAACAATATAAAACAAATACCAAATAGACAAGATCACGTTTTACATTTGTTTATGCTGTTTATCTGCCACTTAGTTTTTTCCTTGTCAACAGATACTTTGTGTGGGCGTATTCACTACTTTGCATTCATTTTTTATTTCTGTTTCATTTCATCATTCTATTCAAAGTTGTCATTCTTTTGTTTGTCTTTACCTCAACCAATTATAGGTCACGATATAAACATAAAAATAAACGTTTAATTAGTTGATTACAGTAACCAGTTCGCTAGATAAAGATATAGCTATTAAATGCATTCCCAATAAATCAAGGCGAATACTAATTGATTTATGTACTAAATGGAGCAAGAAAATGCATGGACTCGTTTAAGGGAAATTAATTACTCTTAATAATCAAGATAGTGGAGCTGTTGTCCCTTAGTTTTACATCTTTCTCATAAGGTCGAAATTGGATTTTTAGTTGTTACAATAAAAAGCATTGCTTATTTTTTTTATTGATAACAGGAGAAACCAATAGCGGAGGTATTCAGTTGATTTTGTGAGGTATGGACCAGTTCCGTGATGTGGATGGTGGCTGGGCCTGGGTTGCAATGGTTGCTTGTTTCATCTCCAATATCCTAGGCGGCTTTCTTAACTACAGTACCGGTATATTCCATGTGGCGTTGTTGGAGGAGTTCCAGGGAGATGTGGCTACTACCGCTCTTGTTGGTTCCGTGTATGCTAGTCTTTATTCTCTTTTCGGTAAGGACTTATCCAGTGTCGTCTTTACCAAAACCTTATATTGTTCTTGGCTATTTGAAGCTTTTGAAATTGCCCGAATACCATTTATGATATACCAAATATAAATATATGTCAAGACAAGGAATGATCGCGGAGAACATGCTCTCACTTGAAATTGTAAGTATTGTTTTGTAGGTCCTTTCGTAAGCATGGTTGTAAACATGACGAGCTGTCGGGTAGCACTGATGATTGGCGCCATACTGTCCGTGGTCGGATTTGCCTTAAGCTTTCTTGCCAACAGTCTCTCTACTCTTGTCTTTACGTATGGGATTATAGCAGGCAGGTGAAGAAAAAATTAATTTTGTTTTACAGTTAATATATTTTAATGTTCCAATACTAGAGATAGTATCCTCAATTCTCCATGTCTCTATAAAGGTGTGCCTCCCTAAGTTGTTGTATTATACTTGACCCTTAGTAACACCATTATTAAGACTGTGAATGACGTATTTACCGGAATACATATTACAGGTCAAACAACAAATCAAGGATACATGATATTTGGAGGTGTATTGTAGTCTTGTTTCTTCAGCGTCCGTACTTTCATTCACTACCTTCAGTATGGAACATTGCGGACACTGTCCTTCCCACATCTAGACAACGTTAGCATACCTAGATTTCATAAATAACCTTAAAACCTTTTGCGATATGAAACCTATATTTGAACCTAATGTTATATGAAGATCCTGCCCATCTTTCAATGATAGAATTATGAGCAAAATGCAATATGACAAAGACATAAAGAATACAATATGATTTTATTTTGCACATTTCTGCAGCCTTCAAATTGCAATTTATGTAGTGAAATAGAGACTAAATGACTTTAAGATTAGCCTTTATATTGCCTGACATCCTATCACAATCCATGACCATTTAAATTTCCGAAGCATGCCAAAAAGCATTTCTAATACATATTTTTTGGAACACTAACACATCTTAGTAAGGAGTAACTCCAATCATAGTTTCCTCTTTATATATCACATCAGATTGTTATTTTCTTTCCTACTTGATTTTACTGATTTATTCACTTAATTGAGATTTGAGATTATGTTTTTGTGTGTGTGTGTGAAAACTGCATTTTATTACAGAACTACTAAATGACGAACGTTAGACCGTCATGTTGAAATATCTGTTTAAAATGCAGTTTGCAGACAATTAAACATCAATGAAATAAAAATTTCCTTTTAAAATCATTTAATTCCTTATTGATGCTTCTTAAAAAATAATCATCTTTCATTTGAAGTTATGCGCACTAACGAAACAGCCTGTGTTAGTATGTTAAAAAGTCTGCCTCCAGATCTGATTATGCATTTTACTGCCATTGAATCAGCCAAACATACTTTGTTATCTGCAGTAAGATATTGCATTGGCATCATATGCAACATTTTACTGCTCATTGAATTGATAACTAACATCGCTGATTATTTCTAACACCATCAAATGAAATTTAAAAGTGTACATTTTGCACATACTGAAGTGTTTCTTTGTCAAACTATAAGGGACAACACAGAAGGCCATTTAAGCTTGCCAATGGAATTTACAGAAGAAATTTATATAATACACGAGTGAAAAAACCCTCTTATTATGACGATTTGGATACAATTTGGTTTGCATACACAAATTTTCAGTTTTGCTGTTAAGATACATCCTTACTTCAATTTAAGGTCTAGGATCTGGGTTTTGTGCTACACCTGTCTTGATCATGACCGGATACAGCTTCAAAAAATATCGAGGAATCGCGAACGGAATTGTTGTCTCTGGATGTGGAGTTGGCATGCTCGGAAGTGGTCCCCTTAGCCAATACTTTATTGATAAATATGGTTTACGAGGTGGCTTCCTGATGATGGGCGCCGTTGCAAGTCACTTGGTTGTGTGTGCAGCATTGATAAGGCCTTCTGGAACGGAAGTATGGCACAAACAAATGAGACAGGAAGCAGAGGACTCTTCCAAAAAATGCGTTCAGATGCGGAGTATTCTAGACTCTTCCTTGTATAAAAACTATGCTTTCCTGCTCATCCTTATAGCGGGATTTGCATGGAATGCCGCATACGCTATTGTCCTCATTCATCTCCCAAGCTTTTCAGTGGTCAAAGGAGCAGCTAAAGAAGAGGCTGCCATGTTGCTTTTTGTCATCGGTATCGGTAGCTCGGTGAGTCGTATTGTGGGTGGACTAACTGCTAGTACTGATTCCGGAATTGACCCAATCTTACTGAAGCTTGGAGTTTTGGGGATAACCGGAGTATTCACCCTGATGTTTCCGTTTTACTCCTACAAATACTGGCAGCAAGTGGTCTTTGCCACTCTGTTTGGTATATACAGTGGGGGACTTATAGCATTTACTGTTCCAATACTTATTGAAATAGTGGGCCTTTCCAAACTGTCTGCCTCTCTCGGAGCTCTCTACTTCCTTTCAGGGGTCGCCTGGTTCATCGGACCGACTGTTGCAGGTAGTCTGTTTTACATTTGGTATTTGTGCGGACGCACTGTTTTAATTAGATACAGCTATTCACATGATAAAGCCATACTCACATTTACAAATCACATTATGTGTTAATCTAAGAATCAATTGACACTGTAGTGATTTTTTGCTAGAAGACCAGTAAGACTTGAGGATCCGCTGCATACAGTAATCTATTCAAAGCAACATCAATTGCGTTGGTTCTTAAAAATTTGAGAGTCAAGACAGCAGAGTAGCGTGTAAAATGAAAACGCTCTATTCCAATCAATACAATCTGTGTTAAGAATTAAGTACAAAATATATGCCTAATTGCTTTAATACCTACTAGTTTAAATGTGGAATGAAACGTTTCTTCAGCCATCATTAGATTGTCTTATATAATATTTCTACTGGCACTTCATACTTGTCAAATTGCCTACCCTACCTAACCTCTAATGGCATGATCACGATATCCATATAAGGTTGTATATTACATTTGAAATCTACATTTTCTTGGTAGGTCACTCCTTTCATTTTGATCAAGTAGTGTAGAAAACGACACTGAGCAATTGATATACTCGACCAAATGCTATCTGCATCTCTCTGTGATCTAGTAGATGACTCCATCAAACAGTTAATATGTCGCGTCCTCTCCTTTCTCAGATAATCGGATAATTTCCACCACAACTGGTCAGGCCCTCGAGGTTCATGTGAGAAATTTACCATGTATAGATAATGAGTCCCTTGTGGCGGTCATCACATTTATCGAGTTATTTTGAGATTGTTTACATACAGTGGTTTTAGATCCTGTTTGAAAACCATTTCACGTGAAAAGAGACCGTTCAAAACTATGTGATTGCCACCTAATTTTTTTTCTGTTTTTGACTATTTTTTAAACTTGATTTTTTAACTCCATTTTTAGTAGAAACACAATTTCCCTTGCAAGATGAAGGTTGTATTAACATAAGCAATATATTTGTCGATTACATTTCCACTTTGACTTGCCAAATTATCAATGATTCAACACAAATGTTGATGCTTCGAATATTATGCGATATGCAGTCTGCCTTAAAGAGCCTTCCTTCAAAAATACTTATCACTGAGAGGCCGAAGAATTTATCTAAACTGGTATTCCTTCGTTCTATTGTTTGCGTGGAAGATGGTTTTCACAATTTGTGTTTACTACAAATACTTTATGTTGTTGATTTTAGAGTGTTTACTCGACACAATTATGTATACCGTATGTTTATTTCCTAAATGAAGTGATATAGGCATTCATGTATGTCTATCTATATTTTGAACTGCCGAATTCTGTTATGTTTTCCATATACGACTGCACTATGTCTTTGACAGGTGGGATAATAGATAAAACTGGCAGCTATGACATGGTCTTCCACATAGCAGGTAAGAATGACTACTATCCTAGTTTAAGCATCAAGAGGAAGCCGTTTATTGACAGTGACATATTAGATATATCGGTGTTAAAAAAACTGACAAGAAATAAGAATTGTATACATATGTATGAATACAATTGCTGCAACTTACATCTCCCTTGCATAGGATTATATAGTAGTGATATCAGTAATTTTGAAGCAACGTATTCTAAAAATACACCCTGTTATACAAACGTACGTAATCGATAAAAAAAATGTTTCTTTCAATTTATCGTCATAGTTATGTAACCCTGTTAAGATACAAGCTATAAAATACCATTCGCCTACAGATATTCAAGACGACAAGATAGAATCATCTGCCTTATCAACGACATCCATCATGAAAATTGGCGGCCAAAAGTAATGTCAAGTTCTGAAATAAGAATAGGATGAACTACAACAAACAATATTTTAAAACGCATAGAACACATATCCCCATAGTAGCATAACGCCACATCTCGTCCCAATACTAAATTACAAGATTGCAAAAAGACACAAATCAATAGCACTCTAAGGACAAATGTGAAATTAGACGGAGTATAGTCAGATAATGTACGAAACTTCGTCTTAAAGTTGTTTTTGCCTTCTAAATTTACGTATGATATAGTGTTACATCATACAGTACAGAAAATATATTGTTTTCATTATATCATTATGGAATCCTCTATTTCAGGAGTAATATTTACACTGGGTTCGATCATGACTTTGCTGTCTACAATATGGCGTCCGAAAGATGTAAACGTTGATGAACAGGACAAATTTGTGGCTTCCGTCCTATCTAAAGGATCCAATTTCTTGACTGGATCTATGCTTCTTACGGGATCAACAAACTTTATGCTCGACTTCCGGTCATCGTCCATGAGCATGCACCAATCCTCCAAGTCACTTGGGCCCTATAACTCGTACCGCTCTGTTCGGATGCAAACATCTAATCGATCTGTTAATACACAGGACAAAGTGCCACTGAAAATATCAAAACTTGCTATAAACAATGGAGAGTCTGTTCCCTTAAATATCGATAATGTAGATGAAACGTGAATATCTAAAAGGACAATGTAGGAACTATGTGGTAATGTTGTGTATAGCAGCGAGGATTATATTACTATATATGCTGTACGACCATTTGCGTTGCCAGTAGGACGCGGACTCTATACGTTAACATTACAAGAACAGAACGGACGTCATTTTTTCGATACATACGTAATCTACGTGGATGAGTTGCGTTACATATGACAAAACTGAATTGTGTTCTGAACTTGTGTGTTGCTTGTGTGAAGATTATGATTAAAACTGGTACATTTCATTGAAACTCAACAAAGTTTTCCTGAGTACATTAACAAATGAAAAATACATTTTTGTAAACATATATAAATGATTGGAAGTTGATTGATGGATGGGTGAGAGGTCGAGCGGATATTTGTAGAAACACATAATGAGCAAATAATGGGAGGTTTCAAAACCAAATTTATTAAGTCATTTTATTATGGAGATTTGAATCTTAGTTTCTAATCTAATGTCAAAAATCGAATATTTGTTTAATTGTCTTGGCCATGGAGATGAGAGATATAAAAAGGAAAAATATGCGAAATATGCGTATTCAATTTTTTGTTTCTGTTTTTTGTAAGCTAATGTTGGAATATTGATGTGCCTATGGGAAATAAAGAATATGCAAAAAAATGCACACGTCATCATCTGGCTTCTTGCTTCATCGCAACTATAAGTATATTTATTACATTAAGTCATTTATTGAAAAATAAGATAACTTATTTTATTAGCCCTCTGGAAATTATAGTTTTGTTACTTTTTCCTGACTACATGACTTCGCCAATCTCTAGATTTTGTCTCACAAAATAATGTGTGGGCGTAGTTCTAGATGTTCACCCCTTTCTGTCATCCTATAGATATCCGAATCCTGGGACTGAATGTGTTTATTTGTATTAAGATTTAAGAGTTTCACGTACTAGAAAAAGTAGAAAAATCTCACCTTTAAGCCTGTGCTAATTGATGAAAGTAGAAAAGGACAATATACCAAGGAATTACTAATTGTCTTAGTAGCATTTAGAAGAAGTCACGTCTAGTACAATTATTTCCTGTGCGGTTACTTAGAACACACATGATAAATCTGAGTGGGCAAAAACAGCAACAGCAGGTAGGTGTTTCTCACGCACCAAACTAACAAACAAACAGGATGTACTAGAACTGATCTAACAAATAATTAAAATAGGACATAGCACTTTTATAGTAAGACAACATTATCATTTCGAAGTTAATGGAGATGAGATAAAATTGTACGAGTAAAAATATATAAACAATAAGCTACTGCTATCATCAGATTTTCAATAACTTACAGAATTAATAACTTAGGTTGTATCTATATAGGTTTTTAGACATTAATTTTCATCTATATTCCTCGGCCTCCTCATCGGTTTCATCTTATTATCACTGACAAGGCAGGGAAATATGGGACAGTCGTATGACGGCTTCATTCACATTTGACTCGAAATCTAAATTTGTAGGGAAAGGTGATATTCATTTTTGTGAGCTTTGTACATTTTTGTTCTCCTTTGAAAGTCAATTCAAAATCGGTGATCAACTTGAATAGTCCATCTGGTTTTAGGAATGGATATAGTTTAATACGAATTGTGGCTCGTGGATGGGAGATAGGGTAATGACTTGACGCTATATGTCTACTGTGTTACATTCTAGATATTTATGGAGTGCTGACAGTGTCTTGTTTGTCTTGTATGTACAATTAATTAGTACTTACCATGGGAGAGCATCTCGGTTGGAGTTTGTGGTGGAGGTGGGGGATGTTAGGTGAGGCGGGGGTGGGTGAGTGGGTGGGTGAGGGGTTCCATTACACCGTTAGCGCTATTCATTGACTGGTAGAGTACGACAAAAATACGACACGAAGACACGAAAATATAAGCTTTAAGTGTTTAACACAGTTTCAAAATATAACCATGTTAGTAATGTTATCTTCATCTATAAATTAATGTTTTCACGACGTTTGGATGTAATACATGTGTGCTTTAAACACGAAAGGTTTCATTATTGGTATAAAATACATGGTAGAAAATGTCAACCACTTTGCCCTATGCATTTAAATGACTAACTGTTATAGTCTTTAAGGTCTGGTGTGGTTTGTTTGAACGCCATCTTATCAGCGAAACTGTTTGGATAGCACATCCCGTATATTGTTAGAGGATATGTGGTAACTTTACAGTTCTGAAATGTCTCTCGATACCATTCGTGTTTTAAATATTTCTTCTATGTTTTCCTTACAGTGTGATACGAGAAGAGTACACATTTTCAAGGCTGCCTCTTCAGGTTGACCTAAATAAACAAACACACTTTAAACTGCTGTCCATACATATATAAGACATTTATCAATGTCGGTATTTATGTCCAGCAACAAATTAACTGTCGAATTATCATTGCTGATTACAATCATTATATCAAGTGTATCGTACCAAATGAAGAAAAATGTCTCTCCCCCTAAACTTTATGAAGTTTAACATAACATATATATTAAATTTTGGTCATTGAGTTTTGCAGTTTATATATATCGGATCTTATATGAGTCAGATTTCTTTTCATATAATTAATATAATTTCATGAAATTTTGTTCCTATGACTTAGCCACCAAAACATAAAACTTCGAAGTTTCATGAATTACGTTTTTTTTTTTTTTCATCACGTAAAAAGTTTTTGACGGGTTTTTATTCTAGAATATGGATGACCAATTCGACACTTTGCTGTGTCATTTACAATTACTGACGTAACGTCAACGCCAAGTTCTGACTGACACAGTCAATGAAAAACGCTATAGGGTACATTGCTCAAGTGACATATGCAACACAAAAATAACATGTGGACGAATGTTCTGGATAACAGTCATATTACGTTGAAAATCTCTGTAAAACTAGCGTTCAAATCACATAACCACACTGTAAGAGTGCACGGTGTCCTCTCTATTCTATTGCTTGCAATTAGTTTTGATTTCAAATTAATTGTATTTTATTTTTGCAATCGTGATTATTTGCTCACTTTAGTCAAGCAAAGCATACTTGGCAACTGTTGCTTTCAAGAATATCAAATAAATCCTTAAAAGAATTTTTTCCAGATAGTGATATTAATGTAAAATGCCAAGTTACGTAACATTTTAGCAATGACAAGTGAGTTTCTATATGAAAGTCAGTAATGCATTATAAAAACACTTTTTCAATCGCTGTATATCACTTGTCTAGTTTGGTGATTTTATGTTACTCGTTTATCGATTACCCTTAATGTGCGAAACAATCTTATTCCCATTAAAATGCCTTGAATGATTTTCTAATATAAGGCAATACGTCCTCCCCTAGCACCAGTCACGTATCGTCTGAAAAGGGGGTCGGCACATTTGTACGACTGTTGGGGATAGAAGCGGGGCAATGAAACGCCTAAATAGAATTAACATTTCATCCAAATAGGTTTTGAGTATTTCCTTAAAACTAAACTGTGCTAATATCACACACATTACGAAACTTAATGGATCAGGTAGCTTTTGAAATAGGAAAAGATAGAATGTTGTGTGGAAACAATAGCTCTGCTCATCATGTAAATTACACCTTGACTATGATGACGCAATTAGGTAGTCGTGATGGCGTGTGGAGTTTAGGATACAGCGTCAGCCATGCTGTAATTTCAGTACGATTAGGGAACCTATAATCACATTTCAACACAACCTTCCGATTGTTCTGCGTTATTAGAACAATCAAAGTTTAATGCCAAAACCGCAGTTCTAATATCTTTTAATGTTTTCCTATAACACTATCGATTAGAAAAAAGGAAGAAAACACGAGTACGTATGAAGTGAAGGAAATGTTTTAAAGGGATTGGTTAAGATATAAATACGATTACTATGGTTTTGTTTGTTGGAAAAAAAGTAATTAGGAGTATTTTCCAAGTGATTGTGCACGAAATGCTTTAACGTACACTAGTGGATAGATGTTACACTGCCATACCTGAATATATCATTACAATTAGAGGCAAGTTCAATTAGTTCTGTATAGATGATAACATAGTATGGCTACATTGAAATTTTGCTATTCAACATAATGGATAAAATGTGGAAAAATGGCTCTAAACAGTTTTGTTTATAGTGAAAAAAGTACATTAAAGGTATAATTTGTTCCTAAGACAATTACCTGGCGACTTTTTGGTATATAGAGGTGTGCGAGGCGTTACTATTGGACAAGAAAGAACTAGTTTAGGGACCTTGAAATGCAATTATTATAAAGTACAAGATTTTTGTAGTGTTTTCTTAGGCAACGCGTTCGCTAATGGCAAAGGGAAAAATAATGTACTTAAGGAAGAGAAAATGAGAAAAAAGAAAGTTAAACAAAATCTCTGAAGACTTTGATAACTAGGTTAAGCTTTTCAAAATAAGCTTGAATCAAGTGATATTGGAGAAAATTTGGTAAAGCTTATCAGAAAAAGCTTAAGACAACAGCGGGAAGTGCCGAGAACATCGAATGATGATATATATTGTCCAGTAACGTTAATATCTATCTGGAAAGAGTATTCTGTCGATCATAAATGAATCAATATTGACTGTTTTCTTATTTACTCATTAATATGATGAAAGCTTGTACGTATTCGAGAATTGTAATCGTTTTCATGTAAAATAATTTTACATTATAGAAATTGGATTCCATCGGTAATTTAGAATAATGATCTTCATCAAGCAATGTTATCAGGTAAGTGTCAGTAAATAGCTTCATAGATATATGAATATGATGATTTTCATGTTCCTATCACGTCAAAGGTTGTAGACTTTGGACCTGAAGCAAAAAATGACCATTGTTCTAAACAACCGTCTATTTTACACTCAAACTTGTTACATGTTATGAAAATTGAACATGATGTTTATATAGAAACAATATAGATAATAAACTAACTTGTTCAAGATGAATAAAACAGATACATAGTATCAAATTTGTTCATTCATTGCTTGACTGTGAAGTGCGTTTTGGATTTGTAAAGCTAGAGCTGCC